AAGTACCTCCCTGCCCCAGTGCTTATTAATCATGGTCAAGTGATCAGCATTGATCCCACCAGTCATGGTTCCAAATGATATTGGATTCATGAAAACACAGCATCCTTTCTGTGATATCTCTGCCCCATAATGGTAACAGTGGTCTAATCATAAGGAAGGCACGGACAAACCCATATTGAGGGACAGTCTATAAAATAACTTCTCTGAAATCTTCAAAATGTCAAGGCCATGACATTCAAAGAAAGGCTGCAAATCATTTTAGACCGAGGGTGACCAGAGAGATGTGACGACTAGGTACAATGTTTGATACCCTATTAGATTTTTTTTTTTTTTACCCTAAAAGGATTTTTTTTTTTTTTTTTTTTGGACACTGAAGGGCAGTTTTGAAACTGTTTCCAAATAAAAAGTTAAAAGAAATGCCTTTCTCCTGGTTGACTCCTGCTGGCCTGCAGGATTCATTTTGAAGAAGCTTCTGCAGAACTTCCTGTGACCTCCTTTGTGCTCCCACTGTTCCTGGACCCCCTGACACTCTTTTCTGATTATATCTATGCTTCATCTCTGCTGGCCTTGGAGGTTCCTGAGACCAGGTCTCTGGGTCCTGTCTGGATCATGGCACACAGACCAACCTCTCAAAACACACTGAACCAATCTCCTCAACAAAAAGGGTGTATTTGGGAGTACATCTGAACCCCACTTCTCTACCTGGGACTCAACCAAAGAAATTGTTGGTCTGGCTGTTGGAGGTGCACCTGACTCAGTGGCACCCATGAACAACCAGGAATCATGTCTGCAGGGGGGTTCCTGGAGGAAATATATTTAATTTTTTTTAAATTAATTAAAGTTTGTTTGAGAGAGAGAGAGAGAGAGAGAGCAAGTGTGCTTGAGTGGGAGGGAGAGGAAGTGATATGGGGCTTGAACCCATGAACTGAGATCCTGACCTGAGCCGAAATCAAAAGGCTGACGCTTAACCGGCTGAGCCACCCAGGTGCCCCCTGGAGGAAATATTTATTATGCAGGACAGAGTTGAGGATCTAATCCCCTAGACATGACCTCGCTGAAGAGGCTTCTCAATGGGGAACACTCTCTCTCACGTCTGATGTCACTTGTGTGCTCAATGAGGGCACGGAGGGAGGCGGGGGCTGCCTGGATAACCCCAGCACAGCGGATCCCACCGCGCTCAAGGATTAGAATGTTGGGAATATACCGGAGGAACAGCCAGCAGTATTATTGCCAGGAAGTATGGACATCCAAAGATGTTAGGACCCTGCCAGGAATGGTTAAACATTTTTCCTCCTGTTTTCTGCGGAGCTAAGATGGGTTATTGGTGGTTATAGATGCCATTCAAAGGATCAAGATGCCAACCTTTCAGGATGGGGGCCTGGTGTACCTGTGCCTGTCAGCATTGAAGCCGTCCTGGCTGTCTGTCCCTCAGACGTGGTTTGAGCGCCCCCTTGGGGTGAGGGACATGTGTGACTGCGGGAAGGGGCTGAGGAAGGTCTGGGCCTGGTGGGAGGGTTCCAGGATCCAGGAGGGGAGGCAGGGGCCTGCCAGCAGGGGGCGGGGCCTGACTGGGAGTGCCTAGCCCGGAAGGGAGGGCAAAGGGCCATGTTGTCCGCATGCCCCACCCCACTGACAAGAGTCCCAGTTACCAGGCCACCCTTTCTGTCTGGGGCCCTAGAGGGGTAAGTGTCCTTCTGAACCCACCTTGTCTCTTTCCTATGCAATGGGTGAGAACTTCTTTCTTCCTTAAGGGTCCAAACACCCTGTCCCCTGTTTAGCCCTGTGCCAGACAGAGGCCACACCTGCCACCCCCTCAGCGTGGCACGGTCCCCCTGCTCGACTTTCAGAGGTCCATGAGATGGGTACTGGGGGGCGGGAATGAAACTTTC